TTTTTTTCCCGACCATATATATCTTTCCTTTTAAAGTTCGCTTTTTGAAAATCTTGCCCTCCACCGATTTATTTCGTGTTTGGACCAGTAATAAAGCATTGATCATAGTTTTGTTTGGCATAATTTAGCTCCATTAAGGTTACCTAGGCAACGGATATGCAAAAATCACATCCATAAAATATTTGTCAATATACATTTCTGTCTGAGCAAATCACTCTCAGCTGCATAGATATTAGCACTTCTGGAGATAAGAATCAGTTGAAGCACCTATTTTTTTTAAACCGAAATTCATTTGCATTGTCTAAAATTTTCAAGAAAAATAAGCTTAACCCTTTGTATTTTACTAACATATATTTAAAAAATAAGCTTAACCCTTTGTATTTTACTAACATATATTCAATGTTGAATAGATGGTTATAAGCTTCGAAAATTGTTCGGTTAATACAACTGAAAAAAATACGTTTTTACGCTGATAATTGTGACTAGAATAAGTCATTCCTACGCACCTGAGCCGAGTGATCAGCCCAGACCATGGATAATAAAAGCACTTTTATTATTCATGCCCAGACTAATTTTTATTTCTTTGTAAAGGTCATGGCTTGCTTAGTAATCACTCCGAATTTTATTGCAAACACTTGCACGTAAAAAAATGATCTTTTTTTAAGGTACTAATTTGCATGATATATCGATTTATATTTAACCCATTTACTCGTTCCTTGCTTGCTCGTTGTATGATACAAACGAACTCGTGAATAAATAGAGGATATTACATGGGCGCGCGGAGATTCTATCTTCGAGTGTTTAAAACGATAATTTTAACACGAGAAGATAAAATTCGTATCACCAAGAGACCATGTAATATTCTGTTTATTCTGTAATACCATGATCACCTCGGATTCTTTTGTCTTCCGAGAGATGTTTACAAGCAAACATCCCTCCCTCATGAATAGCATGGACGATTATAAGCCTTTTTCTTTAAGTGTACGAACTTGCAATGTGCACATGACGACCGCATGACACTACGATACACACGATATAGAAATGAAAGAAAATTATAGTGCTTAGAAGAAGGCAATTCCCGTAGAAAGACCCTTAGGAAATAACTTTCTTTCATTTCTATATCGAATATAAACACGGTTGGACGTAACAGCATTTGTTCTGTCTGCTTTGCTACAGAATGGCGAAGAGTCACAAGCAGCATGGTCCATTCCACTTATCGTATCGGCGTTGCATTAAGTTATTCTCAAGTCAGAGGAGGCCTCAGAATCACTGGCAATGTTTACCATAATGGGTGTGGCAAAGGGGCTGGATCAGGAGCCGTGACGTATATCAAGGGGGACTGGACCTACATCAGATACACGCAGGAATTTAGAGGAACTGCATCTTGTTGGAAGATTTTTGGAGGACCAGCTTCTCCTAAGTACAGGTATTACCAATTTTATTTACCAAATATTTATGATTCTGCCCCTGATGGTAGGGCGGCGCGGACCATCCAGTGGCAGATCCACAAATATTTCAAGGTCTGGACTAAATGTAGAGATCTATTTATCTATACACTGCTGTACTAAAATTATATATTCATGTTCCAAGTTCCAAAGA